AAAAGAATTGGGCAATGTAATTATAATAGATACGGTAGAGATGAATGGGACAATGTAGTGATAGCGTGGTAGAGAAGAATGGCGCAACGTAGTGACATGCATGGTAGAGATAAATCGGATAATGGAGTGCGTAGTGGTATGTTATGATTGGGCGTGGCATGGCGCTGAAGTATGAAGGCGAAGGGTCTCCTGCATCGCAATCCAGCATATTACCCACGCACCTACCACCACAAAATGAACGGGAAAATGCACATACTCAACAGAATATAAAGCAATACCGGCGCCGGTGGTGCACAGTTGAACCGTCGTCTTTGTGCGTGAAAGATGTGAGTTCCAATCCCACTTGGATAACCTTTTTTTTACCGATTCTATCATTTCTGTCTCCTACGGTTCAACGTCCCTCGCAGCTAAGGTTAGCCCTCGCATACAGATTCGAAAAAGGCCATCTCCTGGATAATCTAAATTGTGCCGATGGGGACACAATATTATTGACAATCAAAGGACAACAAAAAGCAGCGAGTGCGCAAATGATTGAACATGGGAATGCGTGGGGTTGTGTGTGTGTGTGTGTGTGTGTGTGTGTGTGTGTGTGTGTGTATGTGTCTGTGTGCGTTTGTGTGTGCGTAAGTGTGTGTATAAAGGTGTATGTGTCTGTGCTGGGCGTGTTTGTGTATTGTGCGTATACGTGTGTGTTGTGTGTGTGTGTGTGAGTGTGTGTGTGTGAGTGTGTGTGTGTGTGTGTGTTTGCGTATATCTGTTTGTATATACGCAGGCGCATGTTTACAATGATAAACAATACGCATACCTCGAAGCGATTATGTCACCAGCCTCCAATGAACGCTGTCACCTATAGATTTCCAATACTCAAACAACACCACACAAAACTCCAAACAGTTATTCACCACCACAGCGCTAGAATGTAATTATGCCATTTAACATGCCAGAAAAGACATGTTTACTGTACAACAGATTGCGTGATCAATCAGAGAGCTCAGTACTCGATTATCGCTTTGCATACAGATTTATGTTTGAGGTTGCAGGCTAGAGGCCAGAGTGTCTCTGTGGCCCAGTAAATAATGATGAAATTGAAATACATTATTTCTTTTTTGTTCGCTTTAGTTTTTGTTTTGTTTTGTTGTTGTTGTTGTTGTTTTGTTTTGTTTTTGTTTTTGTTTTTGGGTGTTTTTGTTGTTGTTGTTGTGTTGTTGTTGTTGTTGTTTTTTGGGGGGGGGTTAAGGACGAAAGTCCAATTTGTGTTTATTTGCGTAGAGTGAAATCTTGCTGACAGCAGCGGTGTACTCATAAACGCTCGCACTAAACATAAAGGCATTTATTATCTATTTATTATAAACGCCGCCAGCTATGTTGAATGAGAGAAAGAATAAAAAGGTCTGTTGTATATTTTCATAGATTTATTAGATTGTGTGTTTAGAGATGGTTCCATTTCATAACAATGTACTTCTTAAATATTCTCTGCATTACATCGCCCTTCCCTAGATGTGGTCTGTGTGACACGCACACGGGCAAACCATTTAAGGGACATCCCCTAGACATTGAGGCATTGCTGCATTGAAATGTTGAGCAGGAGTTTGAGGTTTAGATATTAAGTGACAAAATGTTATTATATTT